TTCCCATGCCCGGTTTTATGCAGTGCTGTGGATTAAATTCAGGACTTCGCACCTGTTAGACAAGCATTCCCTCAGGTGAGCTGCAACCCCAGTCCTCATGATCTGACTTCTTCAGTAAAGTTGAACTAGGACATGGGTATAGAAGCAGAGATGCTCATTGAAGACCGAATGGAGTGCCAGGTAGAATGTATTCACGCAGACCTACGGTCTTGGCTCTGGACCTTACAGACCACCGTACACATTGAACTTATATTTAAAATGCCATTTTCTTTAAAGTCTTAAAATCTTTATTACTTCTTGTCCTCTAAAAATAGATATTATACTATTTAACTTAGTTCTCATAGTTATAGAGGATACTATGCAAACTGCTAAGGGAGAAAAATCCATCAAGGGTCCAACCCAGTCCAAAGCCAAATAAATATAAGGTCTGCTAAACTACCTCTGCTGGTGCAGTAGTGGCACTGTTATCTGGAGGGTAACCAACAGCTATCTAATTGGACTTAAAGTCCTCTCAAGGGGAGGAAACTCATGGGTGGCACCATAATTATAGCCAATATACATGGCTGGGGAGGTCAGAGATCCTAGAGACAACCCTATCTCTGTCATATCTCTAGACAAATGAAATTTCTTACCATATGCTACATACGGATCCTTATATTACAGACAAGCCTACAGTGCACCACTTATCAAAGAAGTTTCTTTTTGCAAAAGATGGAGGCTACTGCAGAGTCCCACAACTGGTCACACACAGACAATATATGTCTGAGAGATGCTCAGCCCTGGGTGACGGGTCTACATTGAAACCTCCACACCTAAAACGCGAGGAACAGAACAGGGGATAAAGAGAACCCTGGTGCATCCCTCAACTCCCACCAGCAAAGCTTCCTTATACAACAGTTCAACACACACAGAAGGCCACAACTGGCCAAGTTTTAGAGAATAAGAGACTGGAGAGTGTGTGTCCCTGGATAGGACTCCTGTATTAAACCTCACTCACCCACAGCTCAGGGGCCATTGAGGAAGAGGGTTAGAAAGACTGTAAGAGCCAGGGCTGGTTTGTGAACACAGGGAAGCAGAGGCTTTCAGGCCACTGGGAGCTGCTCATGTGAACTTGTGGCAATGGTGGCATCGGGCACAGGACCCAGGTCAACTCAGTCAGACAAGGGCGCAGAGTGGAGTGAGGGAAATGGGTGGCGGGCTGGCCCTAGACTGGGAACTATTGGAGACTGATTACTACTGGGTGAGGAAGAGTAGACCTTACAATCTCTAGATAGGCTGACTAGACTCCGGGGGATGAATTTTCACCAAAGGACATCTGGGTACACATGTTTGACTGGATAGGACTTAACATGTACGGCAGAATACATGAGGGCTCGTGGGGGGCTGGGGGACATGGATGGGGGAGGGGCTCTAAATTTGATTACAAACTGTGGTATGAACTGTACAAAATCGCAATACAATTTTTTTCTTCATTAAAAATATTTTTTGTCTGCCTGCATGTACATGTAGCCATGCATGCAGAGAAGGCAGGAAAGGGTGTCAGGTTCACAGCAACTAGAGTTATGGGCAGTTTCTAACCGCCATGTGGGTGCTGCAAATTGAACCTGGGTCATTTGCAAGAGCAGCCAGTGCTCTTAACTGCTGAGTATCTCTCAAGCTCCTTTCCTAACTTTTTCCTTGCTGACAAATTGATGTCTTTGACCACATTCCCATGACTTACTGCTGTGGCAAAGGGTCCAGCAGTTCCTAAAGTCAGTCAGTGGTGCTTTCCAATGAGACAGCAGTCAGAGGCTCTGCTGAAAGCCACTGGGTTTGCTTACGGGGCTACAACACCTGCTCTTCAAAGCTCAGAATGAACGAGGAGCCCAATTTGTCCTGGGCAACCCATCACCCATTTCGGCAGAGTCAAAACCCAGGGCCTCCCTGATAACTGATCTCATTGGCCTAGATGCATGCTGGGTGAGCGGTATCTAACTTTCGGCTGAGGTTTTGGCTCTTGTGATGCCTTTATATTTGTTTTGAATGAAATGTAAGATGCTCCTCACCTTACCACACCCACGTGGATATGATGAACATAAAGGATATATAACTGTGATGTCAGACCATCTTTGGGCCTTTTCATAGTACCACTGCTGACCAGTCTGAACTGTTAATCTTTATTCATGAAGGAAGGAGCCCAGGGGAAGGATATTGCTTTGTGGCAGTCTGTACCACAATAGATGTTGGCCTGGTGTTGCTAAATCCATGGAGTGGGAGGATCAATCACAGAGAAGCCACTTGACGTTCCGTGGTTAGGCTTCATCCTTTATTAGGTAGTGAATCAAAGACAACTGATGCTTACAACGCCAATCGAAAAGACCAACCATTTAAACAGAAATGGTTCCATTGCGAAGTGAAGCAGACAGGATCCAGGTATTTCTGAGTTTTCTCATATGGCTGATGGAGAAAATATGGCTGATTTGTTTGTTCCCAGCAAATCACTAAAGTTAGTAACGCCTTGTGACCAGGACTCTGTGCATCCCACAGGCCCTGACTTCGGGTGGACTGGTTCCTTCACTTTGGTGAGAATGAGGAAGAACAGAAGCACATTGTAATAGGACTGTATCACTGCACACAGCATCCTTCAGTAGCACAGGAGGCCTTGGCAGGTGGAAGGATGGTCGGGCAGAGATGCAAGGTGACTGCAGTGAACGACCAGAAAAGGGAACTAAAGTCCGAGACGGTGAGAAGCTGGTGGTCACAGGAGTGGCCACAGAGCCCAAAGAAACAAAGTCCAGATAACTAAGTCCACCCAGATGAACTAGCCCCATCTGTAGGCAGAAAGGAAAAAAATAAATAAAAGAAACACTTGCTAAAATCAGACCATAGAGATTAGAGATACTGCTAAGTGAAAAATCACCAGGTACCTTCAAAGACCAGATTTAACACTCACCAACATGTAAACTAGGGACATATCTTGAAAATCTTTTTATCAAAAGATTGATGAATACACTTTCTTAGCTGCTCTTTCCTTCCTCCCTCCCTCCCTCTCTTCCTTCCTCCTTTCTCTTACCATTTTTTCCTTTACATTCTTCCACTTTTTTTCCTTTATAAAATTTTGTTTGAGTTATTTGTTAAACAATAGATACATAAAGCCAGTTGCTTTAAAGATATATTTCTATGACAAATTTCTCTAGCTAGATGGTGAATACTCTAAAGACCACGTTTACTGTTCAGCACCAAGCACTATGTTATCTTCAAATATAAGTGAGTGCTAAGTAAGTACCTCTCCCGCTGGCTGTCCTTTCTTAGTTCTGTCATCCTCTCTGAAGGTTACTCCCATTAAGATGAGAGAAGCTTCCGGAAGGCCAACACCTATCATTTTAAATCGTCTATAAAACCTTTTCAAAAATAATTTGTGTCTTTGAACTGAGATCGCAGGGGGTTGACCTGTCCCTGTTCTATTCTTATTCCTTTTGAGGGTCATAGTTAACTGTAACAATCTGTCTGCATCCAGCCCCACCACCTTGGTAGGAACAAGCTAGCTTCTTATGGGATAAAGCAGACAGCCTTCATCATAAATTAAAGGCACGGCTATTTTATGCCATTTGTTACCAACTTAATGATAACACGTAACACTGAATGGTTATAGAATTATTTGATATAGATTCTTTTTATAAGTTATTCTCTTGATCTTTCTAACATATATACAATATACATATATTTAAATATATTTATATTTATATATACCCCTGATAAATCTTGTTTTAAAGGTCAAACATCAACTCCGTTCAGCTGTGTGGTGAATATCAAGGAATCAGTGCCTTGTGTTCCACTGAGGAAAGAGAGACTAGGAACTTTAGTAATACACTTTTTAAATGCCGTGTCATTGGTGTGCAGTGAACTCAGATTCATTTTTCTTGATGGTATTAACATTTAAATATATGTTAGTGGATTATATCATGTCAGTAGGAAATCTATAAAACCTCAGGACAAACCCACAGCCACAGCTCTCCACACATGTACCCTCATACATCAAACGAAGCTCGCAGAGACAGCCCTACTGGAACGACATAAGAGGATGCCGCAGACTTGCTGTGTTCTCTGATCTTGTTTGCTGTGTCCTCATTTTGTGTTATCCTCTGAGGTTCTCATGGCCCCTCCTGTTTGGAATGGAACAGTTCTACTGATTTCTTCCTACAGACTCTAGAAACCCGGGTCTTCTGTTTTCAGATGCAGGCTCACGGCAAACACTTGCCTGTCTCCAGCAATACCTTTCCAGGGTGTGAAACTAGTATTTGGAAAGAAAGTCCCTTTCTTGATGCCTCTCCATCTCCTCAAAGTACAGTCCTGTTCTAGGAAGCTGGACAGAAGAGGATGCTGACCCGGAGGCCTCCCGGACACTATCTGGTGTATTTTACTGACTACTGGTATGAAATAGCTGTTCACTCTAATTGTGCAGTTCTTTAAAACCTAATGGCATAGATTGGGACACAGCACTATTGTTCGACAACACAACTATTGCATCTACATTGTTGGGATACATATCCAGTAGCTGTTGTCATAGCCAAAGGACCAGCATGGGTATCCTACTATTCACAGTGTTGCTTTTGTTTTTGTAGGTTTTTTTCCATATTATTTTAATCTACAGAGTAAATTATCATATATACATTGGAACCAGTTAATGCCCTTAGACAATGTATAATTGTTTCACAAAGCAGGAAACACAACGCAAGGGAAACAGGTGTCAAAACGCACAGTCACACAGGCTTCAGGAGTTCTAGAAACCACTATTGGTCAGTGCTGGAGACCACTTCTAAAACAATCAGTGTTCAAGAGGAATGCTTTCATTTGGGGAAAATGCCACTCCTTCCCTCCCTCCCCTAGCCCAGCCCCAATTTTTTTTTTAATAATCTTTTCAATTCACTATCAAAAGTCCTGGCTCTTCAGATTTACTTTAAACTATAAATAAACACTGCATAGTTCTCTTTTGTTTTTTTGTTTTTTTTTTTAAAGTTTCATTTTGTTTTTTGAAAAATTATTGCAGTACAATGCCTCCTGTTTAGAATTCAGTAGGGAGCAAAGAGCACAGGGGTGTGGGCGGTCCGAATGGGTCCAGGAGCCGGGCGCAGGAGGGCTGGAGGGAGGGCTGAGGTCTGGAAGAGCGTGGCTGCTGGAGCAGTTCGCAGACTGAAGGGAGAATTCACAGCCACAGCGGCTGCAGCGGCTGCAGCCGCCAGTGGGTTTGGAAGAATTCTGGGGGCCAATGGCTTTGAAGGCTCTTTTGAAAATACCAATTTTACCTACAAGGAAGAGAAAATTTGAAAAAAGGATCAATATGAAAAGTTTTAGAGTTAGTGCTTAGAATCCAAAATGCTAGTCAGTTAAAGAGTGCAGCAGCGGACAGCTACAAAGTCAAACTCATAAAGATGCCATGAAGTCACACATAGAACATTGTCCTTGGGGAAAAGAGGGAGACTCACTGGAATGGAGGGTCTTCCAGAGACCTAGTCAGCAAAACTTACTGTATTTTAGTTGAAATTTATACTCCCACAAGCAGGTGTTCATCTTGAGAAAAAAAAAAAAAATAACCAGAACGATATTGTTGTCCTGCCATTTAAACACACAGAAATTGTCATGCAGAAAATATTTGTTTTAAAAGAGAGAGATCTGTTACCACATTGGTAACATTAGCTTATCCGGGGGGTAATCTGGGAAGCCCAGAGAATGTGGATGAGGATGTTGTATCGAGGAAGTAGTCAGAAGAAATAAAAATGACAAAATTTACCTTCAGTATAGAAGAAAACTTATCTTCCCCCAATTTGGACAAGTCCCCCCCCCCTTTTTGTGCAAAAAGTCATTGCGTTCTCTCACACCCGTCCTGTGATGGGATGATATTTTCTGGCTGGTAACAAGAGTAAGATGCCAATCCCCGTGGAAAGAGCATGACGTTTGCAGAAACCGGAGTGACGGCTAAGGAGGGCTCAGATCTGAGCAGAAGCATCTAAGGAGGGCTCAGATCCGAACAGAAGCATCTAAGGAGGGCTCAGATCCGAGCAGAAGCATCTAAGGAAGGCTCAGATCCGAGCAGAAACATAGCCTTGCTGTTCACTCAGGAACCACATACTGGCTTGTCAAAACTATCTTTGCGGACTGGAGACTGCACTTAGTTAAAACCAGTGAGCCGAAATGAAATAAATATCAGCTTTGCACAGACTTCCCAGTCTCCTCTTGCAGCTAAAACTGCATCTATACAAGAATGGAAGTTGACTTCATTTTCACAAAAATGGGCAGTCCTAAGAAATTAATGGGGTCAAACTGTACGAGGATCCCATTACAGGTGAGTTTAGCTTTCTAATAACTGTTGTTACTGGGCAGCTGCACACAATGGCACTTTATCAATAGGACCTGTTTGAAGAACGCAGACTTTACAATGGCACTTTATCAATAGGACCTGTTTGAAGAACGCAGACTTTATGAAGCACAGTTCAGCATATGCTATGGAGGTCATTTTCTCATTTTTCACTGAGACCTGGAACTCTCTCATCAAAATCACGGTTGCATTAAACAGAAAGAAACACTTATTCATTAGTAGGAGCCTGCAAGGACAGAAGGTTTATAGATTCACCCCTGATGCCCTGAACAACGTGGGTCAGGACCTGGCACCTTGATGTTTTCTAGAAAGCTTATTTGACATGAGAGGGAGGCGAGTTTTTCAGCATCTATTTCTCCTGGCATCTAAATGTCTTTGGATGTATCATCACACAAAAACTAAACCATACCCTGTGATAGTGGTTTAAGAATCTCAAATTATTGAGACTGTCCACACTAACAATGTTTTATCTCTTGAACACATCAAGAGGCAATTCAAGAAGTTGTTTATTGCTGACCTTCTTTCCTGAAAGTGTGGACTAACATCAAGACCACATTTCACAAGCTTATTTGCACACCAGAGTCTGACTTTTCTCTGGTCTCTTTGCCCAGATATAAATCTGAGCTCAGCTTAAACACATAAGCTAGATTAGTTGAGACTAAAGGTGGTCAAACACTGGAACAGGCCCTGTGACTAGGGATTCCAGTGATGGGATGCGGGCAGGCTGGCATCTAAAATGAACTGCTTGTCTTCCTGCAGAGCATTCCATTCCTCAGAATAACAGATAGCTCCCGTCCCCAACACCCCTTCAGCACATGGTGGGACACACAGGACGTGGTATCTCTTAGGAAGTGAAAGTGCCACTCACCCCCAGTGGATGTACCGCCTTCTGTAGTTTGCTGTAGGGACTGTACTTGGGTTTGGGGGGCTTCCCGGCAGCTCTGTCCTTGTGCCTTCTACTGCTAATGTGCTGTTAAAAGCAATTAAAACGACAGCTATAAAAATTCATCTAAAACACTTTCACAAATATTGTTTTAACCTGAGGGAAGATAATAATGACTTCATGCACATTTCACAGAGACAAAAGGAAAAGAGCAGCGTGCACTTTTGCCCTCGGGATCTGCCTTAAAGATCTGCATTTTCATGCTGTCTGTATTTTTAACAAATGAAACAATTTTCTTTTTCCTCATCTTTGACTAACCACCGCACACATCTCCTTTTTTAGAAAAGTACTTACAAAGGAAAAGATGTCTGAAGGAATTTTATGTGCAAATAAACAGAACTGCCCAGGCATGCATGAATTTATTTCCATACCAATATTTAGCCTCACATTTGCACAGCTAAATGTCAACCCCTTAAATTCTAAAGATAAATAACTAAGGTGCTTAAAATCAGCAAAATATTGTACATCCACACATAAAACACAGCACAATGTGAGGGCTGAGCTTTCAACTGGAAATGTGTACCACTGGTGTATTTGGAAGGCTAATCAGGGCACAAATGATATAATGAGTTGTTGCTTCAGCAGGTGGCTACAGGGATTAGAAATGCAGTACAAGACCATCTGATAACATGTTCATAATGAAAGAGCATCACGGTGCAAAGTGAGTTGTCGCACAGATACACTCACACAAGCAAAGATGGAAACTGCATATTGACCTTTAATGTAAACTAACATTTCTGGGAGGAAGGACTTGCAGAGCAAGGTTCCTTCTCCTCCCACAGGGCCTGTACACCAGCACTTCAAGTCATTGATGAACAACAGCCTCCAACAGGCTCCACCAGCCACTGCCTCTCAGGTTTCCCTCAAAATCTAAAATAAGCATAAGCTAAAATAAAGACAGTGACCAGAAGAGAGAAAGGCATGTTGGTAGGTGGGTGGATGGCTGGGCTTCTGGGTGATGGGTGGATAGATGAATGAATGGGTGGATGGATGGGTAGACAGATAGGTGGAATTTGGAGAGACATACAGGTAAATGGATAGGTGGATGGACAGGTGCATGGATAGGTAGGTGGGTGGGTGGGATGAATGGGTGGATGGATAAGTAGATGTATGGATGGGTGGATTTATATGTGGATGAATGAGTGGATAGTAGATAGGTGTATGGATGGGTGGGTGTATGTCTAGGTAGATGGATTGGAGGATGGCTACTTAGATGGATGGACAGGTAGATGGATAGGTAGATATATGGATGGGTGGATAAATATGTGGATGGTAGGTAGATGCATGGATTGGTGGATGTCTAGGTAGATGGATGGATGGGTGTATGGCTCTGTAAATGGATGGACAGGTGGATGGATAGATATATGGATGGATATGTAGATGGATGAGTGAATGGATGGCTGGGTAGATGGATGAATGGGTAGATGGATAAATGGGTGGATGGATGGGTAACTGGATGGATGGGTGGATGGATGGATGGATGGGTAGATGGATGGATGGGTGGGTGGATGGATGGATGAATGGGTAGATGGATAAATGGGTGGATGGATGGGTAAATGGATGGATGGGTGGGTGGATGGATGGATGGATGGGTAGATGGATGGATGGGTGGGTGGATGGATGAATGGATAAATGGGTGGGTGGATGGATGGATGTATGGGTAGATGGGTGGATGGGTGGATGGATGGATGGGTAAATGGATGGATGGGTGAATGGATGGATGGATGGGTAGATGGATGGATGGGTGGGTGGGTGGATGGATGGATGGTGAATGGATGGATCAGTAATGGATGGATGGGTAGATGGATGGGTGGATGGCTAGGTAGATGGATGGCTGAATGGATAGATGGATGGATGGGTAGATGGATGGGCAGAGTTTGGGTGGACAGGTAGGGAGATGGCTAGGTGGCAGACAGGACTGATAAAAATGATAAGGAGGGGAGCATACACATCCCACACAAAGGGTGCCCTTGCTCTTAGCTCCATGGTACAAGCTGCCCACCTGTTTGAGTTGTGTTTCTGAGTTGACGTGCACATCACATATTTCACAGTGAAATGTTTTGTTTTGGAGGCCCGTGTTTCCCTTATTAACAGGTCCTTTGCCCTTCACTCCTGCCCGAGGAAAGGCTTTGATCGTCCCGCTTCCATTCCGGGCTTCTAACATGGTTTTGTGCTTAGTACCTGCCAGGAATATTTGGAAAAAAGAGAAGAAATAAAAAGGGGGAAACATTGTATTAATTCTATCTCTCAAAGAAACAACAGAATGCCAAATGTGAAGCTTTATTGAGTTATGTTTAGGGCGCAATAGATTGAAAGAAGGAGCTCTTAGTACCCTAGATAACACTATTAAACTATTCACCGTTTTAAACATTTGATGTCACAGTAAGCACTATCAGTACAGTAGCTAAACTTGAGAAGGCCCTTGGTAAAATTCCCATGGAAACTTTAACTTTACCTCCTTTTCTTTTGATGCTCATAGGACACACCATGGAGAGCACTCTAGTTGCCAAAGGTACAATTAGTTTTGAGAGATGTGTCACAAGTGTGACCAGGTTGAACATGGTGTGTTAACAACAGTAACAGTAATTATACGCCCACTTACAAACAGAATAGAAACAAGCTTTCTTGACTCTGTTTTAGTCACAAAGTGCAAGAGTAATGGTAAATAAAATTCCAATGACTGAAATATGGCTGCCTTAGGACAGGGAAGCCCAAGCTGATGGGCTCTGTAATTCCTAATGTAAGTAAGAGACCAGGGAGAGCAGAGGTGAGTCAAAGGCTACACAGGTATGCTGCAATGACTGCCTGGAAAGTTAAACCATTAGCAACTCTGGACTGTCACACACAGTTAATGCAACTACCACCGACACTTGATTTCTGGGATCATTGTATGTATATGAAATCTCTGTAAACATTCATTCACCCCTTTCTCCTTTTTCCTTGCTGATCAATTTTTCTATCTGCTCACTTCTTGATGTACTTTTACTAGAAGATTTTCTTCTATTTTTCTGCCCTTCTGATTTTTAAATTTATTTTTTCTCTGTGTTCCTATTTGTGTTTATGAGACTGTTGGTTGCTAGTTCAAATAAATATAAGAAAAAGTGATTCTGAGTCACAGGCACAGACCTCTTGAGTATTCATGAAGGAACATGTTGGGAGTACAGTGCAGATCACACCATGCTAAATAAGAGGAAAATCCAGGAATGAGCTTGCTAACCGCATTTCCCTCACTCAGAATGATCATAACACCAGAGTCCAGGGTACAAAGAACTTTCTTATGACCTCGATTTTTCACTTTGATGGTCAGTATTCTTAATGTCCAGCTATTAAAATGCTTGTGTCTCAGGGTAAGGAAGAGAAGTCAGCATCTTGCAGGAAGACAGGGTGCACAGGAGCATAAGCCCCAGAGTCCCCACAGCAGTGGCTGGGATGCCTCATCACTTGCTTTGGACTATTTTACTCTCAACACAGTGAGCACAGCTGTTTTCTACTTGTTCTGAAGATGCAGGAGAGTATGGGAGGAGAATGCCCTGGGGACAAGCAATAAGCAGCATGTGGACGGCTGGCCGGACACCTTCATCCCAACAGGCGGTTTATGGAAGCATCAAAATAGGTAGCTCTTTATGACTAGTCTGGCTTGTGAAGATACAGGGACTCTGAAAGTGAATCCTTCTGACCTTCATGAGGGACTCCTGGTTCCATCTTGCTTCACATCATTTGTGATTTGGAATTGGAACCTGGCAGGTAGAACACACACACACACACACACACACACACACACACACACACACACACGCACACACACGTATGACTAAAAATGTAGGAAAATTGATGCAACCCCCTGGACTTCAGCTAGTAACTTTGACTCTGATTACTATTCATCATCAAATACTGCCAAGTTTTGTGCAACATAACATTATACACTTAGTAACAGAGTGTCAGTCATCGTAAATAGCTCCTGGATAGTTGTAGATTTTCAAAGCCTGAATAGGTTATGAAGGTAGCTTTACTTTTTATGCAGCTAAAGTTCAGAAAAATGTACTCTTAAGTTTAAAACATTTACATTTTTGAGCGATAACATGTGTGTTGATGATATAAACACATGATTGTAGAATCTTCAGATTGTGTGTTGAGTTTCCATGCTTGCAACTGTTGTGTGAGATGAGTACTATCATAATGACCATTAAAAATGACAAAGCAGGTTCAGAAAGGTTAGGTGACTTGCATGTGGTCATACAGCAAGCACTAGTTTGAACTCCTTTGTAAGCAGAAAATGGATTCCTAGCAAAGTTCCTACAAACCGCCAGGAATTCCAAGCCACCCAGGGACAGTCACATATGAGTCTTTTTCAGTTTGTTATTTTATATGTGAATGAAAATGGATTTCAGCTTGAGCCTTTCGAACCGCCCCCCATCCCACGTTGCTCCCCACAATGTGCAGCTGTCCATCTTAGCGGAATTCCATGAATCCTAGTGTGTGGGAAGAGGCAGCTTCAGCCAGTGTTACCATCTCTGCTTCTAGTATCCTGGGAGCATCTTGTGAGGCTCAGACCTGCACGGTGACAGCTCACTTATAAGAACTGCTTCGGCCCTTGTCTCCATCCTCCTCTGAGAATCTCAGAGCCTTGTGGACTGTCACTTTTATGACTGACACTGACGGTGTCCTCTATTTGAAGCTCCATGTCTTCTGAAAGGAGAAAACATTGTCCATCCACAACTAAATCCATAGGTCATAAGGTTTCACGGAGTCCTGTATGTGTTTGCTGTTTATTAACTTGTTTAGTTTTGGCTACTTTGGGGCAAGATAAATATTGCTCCAAAATATGAGAAGAGGCTAGTGTTCCATTCTTTCCCCATCACCTGTAGGAGTTCCTCCTTGCCCTCCTCCCCCTCCTTCTCTTCCTCCACTGTTTCTCCTCCAACTCCACCCCCCCAGCTCTTTCTCCTCCCTTGTTCCTCTTCCTCCTCCTCCCACTGTGTGGTTCAGCACTGAATCTTCACACACACTAGATAACTGCTCTACTGCAAAGCTCTACTTCCTTTCTTTAGTTTGTTTGCAATTTAGGTGCTAGATAGAGGGAAGGTGAATAGGAAGGAAAACTAATCAAAGACTTAGTTACAAAACAAGCCTTTAATAAGGAAAAATTTGTTAGGAAATTAGAGAATATTTTTTCAAAAGAAAACAAACAGTTCTATGAAGTAGCGACACTCTCAAACTATGAAACTTTTTTATATGTCAGTCATTTTATGAATTTATTATTATTATTATTATTATTATTGAGGGGGGAAGGAAGGAGGGAGGGAGGGAGGGAGGGAGGAAGGGACCCCTGTGCCATGACATATCTGTGGAGGTCAGAGGACAACTTTTGAAGTTGGTTCTCTCCTCTTACCTTTATGTGGGTCTGGGGCTAGAACTCCAGGCTTGAGGGCAGATCACCTTTACTTACAGGGCCATCTCTCAACCCTTATTTTGTATTCATATATGTGCAATCTAAAAAGACTGGATAACTTAGCAAAAATGGAGCTGCATGAAAATTCTTATGGAATTACATATAATTTTTTTTAATGCAGATAGTTTTTAATGATAACAGTGGATATCATCTATTTGATATCCAATGGTAGGAATTAGTATTACTCCTCTATCCCTTATAGAATTAGGTTGCAATAAACATCATACTCTTTAAATTTTTATAGCACACCTGATAATTTCTTCATCCAAGATTTTTGTAAGTGGTACTGCAGGGATAAAGAATATGACAATTTTGGGGTCTTGGTCCAAATTCTGTAGACTTACTACAGTGGTTTCAGAGGGAAAGCACTATCTTGGAATAGTCTACAATTTTTCTCCTATATATAAACTTCAATAGCTTCAAGTCTAATCATCAAATGCCCATTTGTGCTCCTGAGTTTAATGCCATTTAACTAGAATCTCAACAGACCCATGTGATTGCCAAGAGTCATCCAGCTGCCTTCTCCCTCACTAGCTCTATGATCCAACTTATGGATAAGTATTGGTTCACTGGCTTAAAGAATTCCTCATAGGTGCAAGGTGATGTTCTATGTGTCTATTTATGCTACTCATTATTTACCAATCCTGTGTGTTCCAAGGAAGAAAGTGCTTAAAACTCAGTACCTGAATACTCAGCATCGCACGTCCACACATGTGCTCTTCTTGAAAACTTTTGAATGTCAAGTTAACCTTTTATCACCCACATCTTCTGTAGAGAATGTGTTTCCATGTTGATTGCATTTGGATTTTTGTCTTGGGGGAAAGACAGAAATCAAAACAGCATATCAACAAGCATCGAGTACCCAGAATGACATCCATGATGTCACGGGACCAAGCAATGCCATAGCTGATTAGAAAGTTGCAGTATTTTTCTCGGCTCCCTGGTTAATGCAGTTGGTTGACTCACAAGTAATGAGCACACAGCCCAGTTTGGTAAGAGCAGAGACAAGTAGTGAGATGTCTAACGCAAAGAACAGAGAACTTTGTCTTCTGATCAGAAAAGGTCCTAGAGGGCAAGCTGTGGAGGTGGAGTCAGGGACAAAGTGCAGAATGAGCCAGGGGTAGAGGAACCTCAGGGAGGGTTGTGGGCAAGTAGGATGAGAAGGAAAAGCTGAACCCAGAGAGCCCCTGTCACTCCGGACAGGCCTGTCTCTCCAGCAGGAGAGGATGAACAACAGGCACCCAGAGGCCTCTTTTACCCAGGATGCCCTGAAACTCTGACCACAGAGAACACAGGATGCTAATTGTGTGGCTTCTTCAGAAGAAGCCCCCACATGACTAAGAAATGTCACCTCACTTTGGTCCTCAGTCTCTAAGGGAGCTTAGTAATTCCTACCGATCAATGGGGAAACAAATCAGCAGCACACTTCCATAATGGGGAGGGGGTGATGATGCAAGCGATGCTTTTGTTTGCTTTTTATGTAAACTACTTTTATTTTTCTTTAATTATGTATTTCCTTTTGGGACAGGGTCTCACTATGTACTAGAGCCCTGGTTGGCATTGAACCTAGTGATCCCTGTGCATCAGCCTCCTGAATGCTGAGATCACAGGCATGCCACCCCAGCAAGGGTCTTTTTACTTTGTGAATGAAAGTTACAGATGTTCTTGATAGCAAATTCTAAGAGCCCCAAAGGTCCCAAGCCTGCCCAGCTGCCACTGTCAAGCCCCACGT